TTCCCCACACACCTTCAGGCCCCAGTGGGGAAATCTTGATTGCTGGTTGAAGTGGCGAAGTCTGGGGTGGAATTCACTCACCCAAAGCTCAGCCGGCCTGCAGTCCCTCCCTCCCCGCAAGTTGTTGGCTGAGAAATGAAAGTGAAACTCCTGCAGCTGGCAGGAAGAGGAAAGAGGAAGAAGTCTCGGGGCCAAAAGCTGCAGTCCTTTCTGCCTGGAGAGAGGACAACACTTTAACTCCGAATTCTCTCAGGGGGAGAATCAAGATTTGCACCGGAGGGGAATTTTCCAAGGTCTGAAGTATCTGGGCGTTATGACTAAGGGTTGCTGCTGACCTCTGGTGGGTAGGGGCCCGGGATGCTGCTGAACATTCTACCGTGCACAGAACAGTTCTCAAAACATGGTGCAAAATGTCGGTTGTGGGTGAGTTTGAGAAATAATGTTTAACCCTTTCTGCTTCCTAGACCAACAAGGCACCCCATACCTTCTCCCCTACAACTTCAATGATTATGCATAGACCTCCAAACCCATCCAGTAATTGGTTCCACTTGCCCTTTAAAAACGAAATACCATACTAGCTCCTCAGGGATGGGAGAAGGGTTGGCTACAGATAACACACCTGGAACGCTCTTTGGAGTGTTACAAACGTTCCAAGTATTGGTTATGTGGTAGTTGTGCAAAGGTAAAACTTGTTCAAAACTCAACAAACTGTGCACTCAAATAAGTGTGTGTAACATGTACCTCAATAACACTGATAAAAGAATTTTTCTAGGTGAATTCTTTGTGGGTTTTTTTGGGGGGAGGTTGAATTTCGAGAAAGGGTCTCCTTAGGTAGTTCACTCTGGCTTGTACTCACTAGGTTGCCCAAGCAGGCTTTGAATTCTTTCAGCCTCTTGAGTGCTTTTTCCTAGGTGTATGTGGGAAGCCAGCCATGGCCCACTGGCTTTTTGAAAGATAACTTCTTTCTTTATAATCAAGGCATTGACACAATGTGTGGTCAGGATGTTCCTAATTAGCATTTGTTAACATTTGTTCCTTTTTAAAGACTGCACGTGTTAAACTTGTTTTTGACCCTGCGCGGGAGAAACTCGGACAGCCGAAGTTCTGTAGGAGTCAGGTGCTTCCTGTTAAAGATCTGACGTTATCTGTAGGAGTCAGGTGTTGTAACTCCATTTTGTTAAGTTCCTCCACCTATTTGGGAATCATGATTATTAGTTGCAAGTGTTGTTAATTTGTTTTTCTTGAGCCTGATTTCTCTTTCCCGTGTGAACCCTCATTCCCGTGGAGCAGGTGTTGAGGTTACTATGGTAATCCTAGCCTATAATAGTTTGGTCTTTTCTTTTAAAAGGCTGATGCTTGCCTGCAATAAACGTCGCCTTGATCAGACTCTTGTCTTGGCGTCCTTCCTTCCTCTCTTCCCCATCTCCACCCCGCTGCTCTTTCAGGTTTGAGACACTGCTGGACAGTGCTCTGCGTTGCCGGCTCGCGACAGGTGAATTCTTATGCAAATCTGAGGCTGAAGACGCTAACCAAAAGGACAATCAGGTCTTTTGGACTCTGGACAGGGCTGTGGAATTGAGGGAACTTTGTAACCTCACCTGAGGGGGAGGAAACTTGAACAGGAGAGCTCCCCTCAGAAGTCAGAAACCTTTTGGACACAGCGATCCCAGCACGTTGTGCCTCTGTGAAGAGCATGCTGTTTTCATGAAGAAAATAAGTGTATGGATTGAGTGGGCTGCAGCCAAGAAACTCCTAGCTCCCTACGCTCCCTAGCGCTAGTTACGTAAGAGCTACCATCTTGGGAAACTGCTTGACCAAGTGCAGTTTTCTCTTCTGCCTCTCCAGTCGTCTGAATCCAAGGAAACGTCCCAGGCAAAAGGACAGTTAGAAAATTTCTGAAAGTTTAAACTATCCTGTAAAAATATCTGCACCCAACATAGTTAGACACATGCTCTAGCTGTGCTTAAGGGAGTTTATTACTTACTGTTCCTGGTTTCCTCCCCTTAGTTCAATGTCGCGAGCCGCGACGTCAGGATCCTGCCAGCAGGTCCTAAACCTGAAAGGACGAGGACAGAGAGACGGGAGGCACTTTTCTTCTCATGTTCCTTCCTTCCTTCCTTGCTTGCTTGCTTAATTACAGAACCTCTTCCTTTTATACTCTCCAGCTGCATGGAAGCGAGGGCTGCATGGGATCCAGGGAGCGAGAGTACCGCCCACACATTCCAGAGGGAAACAATAACAACCATTATGGGTTACATCTGCTACCAGCTGACCTCACCCGTGGCTATGGGCGAGAGCACATCCGTGCCAGCGAGGTGACCCAAGTTCAATCATGGCTAGGCCTGTGTCAAGGCTCACCATAATGGCTCGCCATAGTTCAATATTGGTAATTCATACCATTCAGATAGTAAATCATTAGATGGATTTGTTAAACCATTAGTCGAGATGTTTACTTAGTCCAGCAGTTCTGTGTGTGATATACAATTTTTATCACTAGTTTTGCTTAGTTTTGTGTCCCTCTCTTCCTTTCTCCCTCTCCCCCTTTTTTTAGTTCATCTGTCTATGAATTGAGCGGACTACAACCATGCTATATTTTTTACTTTGTTATTTTCTTAACAACTATCTACCAACATTGGTAGAAAAATTGCCCCTTTAGGAACTGCCTAGGGGATCAGCAGTTCCTCAGGTCCCTTACTCTCCACTGAGCTGCTTCTTTCTGAGTGGTGCCAGTAGCCCCAAGAAAAAATGAGAGCAAGTTTGGTGCATTCAAAAATCTGGAGGATCGGGGATTTTGCAAGCACAAGGTCCCAATTCGATCCCTGTGTAACCCCCCACCCCAAAATCTGGAACTGCACTTGGAAATGTAGGAAAACAGGGCAGAGGCTGAAAGAGGTGGAAAGGTTCATAATCCCAAGGCTCATTGCTATAGGTGTACAGATACACAGAGCTGGAATTATCTGCTGACACCAGCACAGAGACAAGGCGTCAATTTTCCTTGCTCTCTCTACCTTTACTTACACATTTCCTCCAGTTGCCTAAGCCCTCCCATAGCTAGGCAAAGCAGGGTTCTCTCAGTGGGCCTCTTCTTGCAAGACTGGTTCAGAGTCCTCCGCCCCTACACATGTGAATAATTTTGCATACTCTTAAATTTGTATTTTCTTAGGAAACTTTTCTGAGATTTTGGTGAATATTGGGCTTTTTTTTTTTTTTTTTTGATGCTAGGGATTGAACTCAGTGCCTCATGCATGCGTGCTAGGCAAGAGCTTTACCACTAGCTATGTTCCTAACTCCTATTGTAACATAATTATTTTAGAGAGATGCTACAGTTTACTAGCATGGAACTATATAATATCTATTAATACTGTAATTGTAATAAACCACTTTTCATTTGCAATTATAGTGACTGTGCTAATGTCGCGAGCCGCGACGTCAGGATCCTGCCAGCAGGTCCTAAACCTGAAAGGATGAGGACAGAGAGACGGGAGGCACCTTTCTTCTTCAGTTGCTTGCTTTATTACTGAACCTCTTCCTTTTATACTCTCCAGCTGCATGGGAGCGAGGGCTGCACGGAAGCGAGGGAGCGAGGGAGCGAGGGCGAGGGAGCGAGGGAGCGAGGGAGCGAGGGAGCGAGGGAGCGAGGGCACCGCCCACACATTCCAGAGGGAAACAATAATGACCATTATGGGTTACATCTGCTACTAGCTGAACTCGCCCGTGGCTATGGGCGAGAGCACCTCCGTGCCTGTGTCAAGGCTCACCATAATGGCTCGCCATA